GGCAGAGGCAGGCAGATCTCTGTGAGTTCAAGGCCAGCCTGGTCTACATGACGAGCTCCAGCCTAGCTGAGGTTACAGAGACCCTGATTCAAAAAGCCCCCAAAAAAATTTTTTTTAAATGTTCTAGCTTTTGTTCTGTTGCTGTGTTAAAATGCTTTGATCAAAAGCAACTTGGGGAGGAAAGGGCTTACTTTAACTTATATCTCTAGGTCACAATCTATCATTAAAGGAAGTCAGGGCAGGAACTCAAGCAGGAACTTGAAGAAAAAACCATGGGCCCTCCTATATCATTTTAAATAATCAAAACTAGGAAATTCCTCAGTTGAGACTCACCTCTCAGATGACCTTAGGCTGTGTCTAATTGACAGAGCTAACTAGGACAAATATCTTCTCCCTTACTAACAGTTAAAATCCGATTTTCTGTTAAGCCTTGGATTTTTGACAGTCTGTTAGGTGAGAAATGTTCTCTCAGTATCATTCTGATAACCTCTCCCCAATTTTACTGTTGTATATCTTTATCTCATTTTTCTTTCATTTTAATTTAAAAACTAAATCGATTCTGGGAATGGAACAGAGGGCTTTTCATATGCAGAGTTCTATCACCTAGCTAACCTCCAACCTGGACATTTTCTCCATTATGAGTGAATCTAAACATTTTTTTCAAATAATTTTAAACCACTACCTCTTTTCTGTTTGTCTTCCCTGTTCCTGACCTGTGGGAAATGTAAAAGAAATGTAATGTCTTTTCTATGAAAGGTTTAAATAAGGCAAGACTTCATGTACAAAAAAAATGATTTTTAAAAAATGCATGCCTTTAATCCCAGCACTCTGGAGGCAGAGGCAGGCAGGTGGATCTCTGAGATTTCAAGGCCAGCCTGGTCGGCATAGTGAGTTCCAGGCCAGCTGAGGTTACAGGGAGACCCTGTCTCAAAAAAAAGGTGCTTGGCAGAAATTCAAATTCCTTGAAGGTCAGCACTTGAAATCTAAATATGTGCTCAAGGTTGTACTCAGTGCTGAAAATTGCATTCTGCTTATCAACTGCAACACTTTGAGTCAGCCAATCACATGAGAGTGTGGGGCCAAACTCTGAGTGAGGCACAGGACCCCTTTGCCTTAGGATAAAAATTCAGTGGGACCTCTGCTGGTGTGCCTGCTTGCTTGTTTTGGCACAGCTGCCGAAAGTGAAACTTTTAGCCTTGCTGAAATACTTCTGTGGTCATTTTCTTGAGACCCTAGACCCATTTCTAACATGATCTTTGTTTACTTTTAAAAGTGTTTGGTCATTTTCTTCTTAGGTTTGTTTGTGACAGAGACACACATAGCCCAAACTGTTCTTGGACCGATTATGTAGGTGAAACTGGC